AATAGTCAACAACAACATTAAACAAGTAAAAAAAATCGTAATTTCAATTAAATAAAACGCAAGTGTATCAGTATGTATCTTTGTTATCTGAATATGAAAGAAATGGACAGAACAAAAACATTATAAGAAAATGAAACATAATACTTAATGATAACTTAAAAACATTTGCGATGCACAATGCATGGTCCTGATTCATCATATTCCTGTTTCGATATCCACATTTGCTGAAAAGTTGACAGAGAAGATAAAATCGAACCACCAATCCACACCGAATATTTTCTTTCCGGTGGAGCAATTACTTTAATTTTCATGGTTGTAGGTGCCAGAGCTGTTATTTCTTTCTGGATACGATCGGCAATACCTGGATACATTGTAGTGCCTCCGGATAATACAGTGTTAGCGTACAAATCTTTACGAATATCAACATCACATTTCATAATGGAGAGATAAGTTGTTTCGTGTATTCCAGAACTTTCCATACCGAGAAAAGACGGTTGAAACAGTGTTTCGGGACAACGAAACCTTTCATTTCCAATTGTTATCACTTGGCCATCTGGTAATTCATAAGATTTTTCAATAGTTGATGATATGGCAGAATTTGCCATCTCTTGTTCAAAATCCAAAGCAACGTAGCAGAGCTTCTCTTTAATATCTCGCACGATTTCTCTCTCTGCTGGAATAATATAAGAATAAAACTAAGTTATTATTTGAAATCTGAGATTCACAAAATTATCGAGGGTTAATTTTATTTAGTTATATAATAAATTGTTGCAATATTTTCTTGATGTTGCCATAATTCCTATTGAACACATTCCAGACACATTGTCAACATGTTTGGAGTACAACGAATTCATTTTATAACTATTGTTATTTTTTAATAAATAATCCTTTTACTTTTATCTTTGAAATTTAAGAAAAAATAATCATCCCTGGACTATTTGACTAACTTACCAGTTGTTGTAAAGGAATAGCCACGTTCTGTTAAAATTCTCATTAAATAATCAGTTAGATCTCGTCCGGCTAAATCTAATCGAATTATTGCATGAGGCAAGGCATAGCCTTCATATATAGGAACAGTATGAGATACTCCATCACCAGAATCCATAACTATACCAGTTGTTCTTCCAGAAGAATAAAGCGATAAAACTGCTTGAATTGCAACATACATGGCCGGTGTATTGAATGTTTCGAACATAATCTGTGTTTAACAAAAAATTTCATAAAAAAGTAAACATTTAAATATCTTTTTTAAACGAATAGGATCTAATTAACAGTTATTGCAAACAACAACCAAAAAAAGCTCTAAAACATTAGAAAGATAACGTCAAAATTTGCTAGCAGGCTACTTATTATTGTCATATTAAACTTTAATGCTTTTAAAATTTGTTTCAGTTTTTACAAAATAATTTTTCAACAAATGTCTTTGTTTAAAAATGATTTATGCCCACCGGAATTTTAGATTATTCTTTTTAAAAAATGGACATATTATTTTTAGTTCTTAGTTAATTATTGATGAATAAAAACATTATAATTAACAAATGATTCAAAAATTTTAAAATTCTAAATAATATGTATAAATACATACATATGTCATAAAACGATATAAAAATTTATGACATTTTTTATAAACTAAAGTACGTATAAAGCTATAGAAAAAGAATAATTTACTTGAGTCATTTTTTCTCTGTTTGCCTTAGGATTTAAAGGCGCTTCTGTTAAAAGGACTGGATGTTCTTCCGGTGCAACCCTTAATTCGTTGTAAAATGTATGATGCCATATTTTTTCCATATCGTCCCAATTGTTTA